CCAGGCTTCTGTCACTCAGTTACAGTTGTAAGATCATGGAGCCACGTGGCCTAATCATGGTACACCGAACAGTGTCTCACAGAAATCTCTTTACTTCTTACCATCAGCATCTCTGTGTCTCTGATGGCTTTAAGATATAATGACTAAGTCTGTCTGCCTCAGACTGTAATGGCAACTGTAGATACAGTGAATTTTAATCCTTAGGAATGCTATTCCCCAAGTGCGTCAGAAAAATCCCTGTAAGATAAAAGCATGCCTCTATAAGAATGCCCTTCCAGCACAGATTTGGCTGCAAAATAAAATGGAAACTGCTCAAATAAATCTTCATGTCACCCACCCAATTGTACTTTTCTAATAAGTATTATTTGGTTTTCTGAGGGTGCCAAATACAGAAAGTAGATGTATGCAAATGATTAATCAAATGAAACTAGCTTGGGATTTTCAGTTATAATTTTATTCTGTAAATGAATTATTTTGAGATTGGGATAAATTAGGTTCTCACAAATTATCTCCTAAATTAATTATTTACATTACTTCAATTGTACAACAAAAGTAATATTTCTTTTTACTCAAGAAAAACAATAAATACCAATTCTGTCTCTATTTATTGAAATGTTTGATGTAAAAACTAATAACTTATGTATCAAAGTCTGCTGTGAAGTACAAGAAGTCATTTTACTTATCTGTCCCAATTGTCTTCCTCCCTGTATAAGCATCTTCAGGAATACATACAAATGCTACTTCCACCACACCTCATAATTTAATCTTTATAAAATTTTTACTTTATTAGAGTATGTGTGATAAAGATGTCTGCTCTTCATACAAGTCAAGCATAACTTTGTCTTTCAATCTCAGCTGCTTTGAGGTCTTTGTTAGTAAATACCAATCTCCACAGTAAAACTACAAACCCGGACAAATAAACTCAGGGTAAACCAGATCTCTGCAGGCTCTTTGCTTTGATGACTGAAAAGCAGTTAAAGGTGTTTTAAGTTCTCTAACAGGTCCATCCTACAAGTCTTGAAACAAGAACATCAGTCACCAATCTGGAAAATAAAGTTCAAACAGGATGCTGACAACTATCTTTCTGCTTTCTATTTAGAGGTCCTATACCTTTATCAAAAGAAGGGGACATGTTATAAAGTACAAACAATGGGAAGAAATTCTTAGATATCTCACCAAAAAGAATGTACAGGGAAAAAAACCAAAAAACCAATGCAATGCTTTGACTAGAAATACTGTCTATAATTCATAGACATCATGGTTAATTAGTTGGATGTCGAAAAATGAGCAGTTGCCTCAAAGCCCGTTTGTTCTGGGCACCATGTGTCTTAAGTTAAAATTCTATAAAGTATGCGAATTTAGAATGGTCTTGTCCTTAACCAAGAAGGAAACATCTTACAATTATTTAACTCCCAAATCTTAGCTAGGATAGTGTTTTTTGAATCACCAAAGATAAGATGAAACTGGTAATATGGGATAAGATCAACTCATCAAACAGTTATAGATCTGCTGAAGATCTATATATCCATACAGAGATAGTGAGAAGCTAGGCCATAGATATCTACAGGCATAGAATTTACCCTGTGCCTAAATCACTGAAATTAATAAGTAAACAATTGTATTTTAAGCTGAGCATGATGGCAAGCACCTGTAGTCTCAGCTACTCAGGAGACTGAGGCAGGAGCATCACTTGCGTGCAGGAGTTCAAGACCAGCCTGGGCAACATAGTAAGATCCTGCCTTCAAAAAAAAAAATTACTTTAGGCAATATTTCCATGTGAAAGAGTGAACCAGAGATTACTAGATGGTCAAGGAATTGTGAAAAAAATATTACTTGGCATAAGAGGCACAATGCTCTGTTCAACTGTTATAGTTTCAAAGGAATAACAGTTGGATTAATTCACAGATATCTATAAAATAAACTGGAGACCCAGGTTTTAAATAAAATATATTCACTTTGAAAACTGTTACAACTGTGAAAAGATTTAATAATATCACATTAAATTCTATACCTATGAAAAGTAACCATATGAAAAATAATTATACCACCACAAGGTTAGAGAGACAGAACAAAGCTATCAGTAAAATAGAAGGACAAGTATAACATGTGCCATAGGAATAAGTAAACACACAATACGTGAAGTCATATAAAATGCTTGAAGGTAATACAAAACAATGAAGCCTGATAGAAGAGGTGCCACACTGGTCATATCTAAGCAACAGGCATTCAAACCTCCAGGTGAGCATCTTCCTAATATGCAGATGGCTTCAATACATAGGTCATAATTGGAGAAGCATTTCCTGGTTCAGGAGCAATTTTATAAATTCATTAGACTCTTTTTAGAAGAAGAATCTAAAGCAGAATTTCCCCATGAACTTGTTTCCATAAAGAACTCAAACTGACTAGGCACACTGGCTCACGCCTATGATCCCAGCACTTTGGGAGGCCAAGGCAGGGAGATCACATGAGGCCAGGAGTTTGAGACCAGCCTGGGCAACATAGTAAGACCCCATCAAAGAAAGAAAAGATAGAAAAAGAGAGAGAGAAAGAAAAAGAAAGCTAAAATCATTAGCTGGATCTTGTTAGACATTAGTAGAAAAGTACTTCTGTTAACAACAGCGGTCCTATTACACAAAGTAGATGGAGGTTCAATAACAAAACAAGATTCACTCAAAAAATGCATTGAACAACATATACTCCTCATTCAAAGGGGAACCAAACCATTTGAGAGGTAGCTGAAGAGACAGTTATTCATAAAAGTCCAATTCCTCATCTATGGGGCTTCTTTAGCTCAAAACTAAGGAAAGCAGCATACATGCTTCATTGTTCTGGCTGTCTTTCAGAAAGGAATCATGGCTTTCTGGAATGAAAATAGGCCTAGAAAAATAATAATAAAGCTTAGTCATGAAGAAGTCCTTTCCCTACTCAAAAGATTGGTATTTTCAGACAAAGGCTAAAAGCCACACAGCAATATACTAGAAATTTCCTATAATGTATCTCTGATGGAAATGTAATTTAAGATTACTGACATATGAGACCTAATTCCTTATACAAAAATCAACTTAAAAAACCATTCTTGCAACAGAGATCAACAACAGTTCATTGAAGTTCCTCCTTGTTGCTGAGATGACTTTACATATAACTTAAATTGCTATGTGATAAATATGGAATATTACTACAGGCTATAGTATTGAAAATGTCAACTTTTAATAACACATGAACTGTTTTGGCGACATATGTTTCAGGTAGCCAGTCACTTGAGAATAAAACAATAAGGTAGTTAAAAAGCCCAACCAGGCCTACTCTTGTAATCTTGAATAAAATATATAACATTTCCAGGATTCATAAATGTGAATAATTCCAGATGAGCATGATCTCTTAACATTCTCAGATTGAGACTACTGAGATTTATTATTTATTTATTTTATTTCATTATTTTTTTTGAGACAGAGTCTCACTTTGTGCCCAGGCTACAGTGAGTGCCATGGCATCAGCCTAGCTCACAGCAACCTTAAACTCCTTGGCTTAAGCGATCGTACTGCCTCAGCCTCCAGAGTAGCTGGGACTACAGGCATGTGCCATCATGCCCGGCTAATTTTTTGTATATATATTTTTAGTTGGCCAATTAATTTCTTTCTATTTTTAGTAGAGACGGGGTTCTCGCTCAGGCTGGTTTCGAACTCCTGACCTTGAGCAATCCGCCCACCTCGGCCTCCCAGAGTGCTAGGATTACAGGTGTGAGCCACCACCCCGGGCCGAGATTTATTATTTAAGTTACCTATCTGAATATCTCATTCAATGCAGGAAAGTAAGGATACAGACTCTACACATCTTTCTGCTTGTTTCCAGGGGACATCTATTGTAACCAAGTTAAAGAGAGGAACAAGTCCTATAAAGTAATAGTCTATATCGAAAATAAAGGCATAGCCCTTGATGGGGAAGCTCAATAAGATGCAAGGTGCAATCCGTTACACAAAACTCCAGAAAGCTAAAAAAATGCATAAAAGTCATTAGCTTCAAAACTTAAAAATGTACCCAGAGACAGACTCAGAAACAGAAGCTTTGGTATTTTAAAAGTGGCCTTCACAAATCAGTTTTATATTTGTTTCCATTTTCTTTCACAGTTTAAGCCTCAATCAAATCAGCAGTCTCTAGGGATTTTGAAATCGCTATAAATTAAAATCCTCTCTGACTCAACTGTTTGACTAATGCTGAGTATTTAATAATTCTACTTGAGACAGAATTTTTGGACAAAATCCGGCTGTGTGCTATCTTCAGATGTTCCCCAGCTGCACCATAATGCAAGGCATCACTGTCCTTATTTTCTTTATCACTCAACTTAGGGATAAGAAAATATATTATTACAAACAATTCTATTATTTAGCAGGCCTGGCTGAAACAATTTTATAATACCAATGTAGCAACAGTCACCTATAAAGGCAAAGATCTCCTTCCAGGTATTAATAATACATATTCATAGCTTGTTTCCAAGGATAAGAAATTAATAACTGTGATAGATAGACCAGAGTTAAGTTAATGAATTTCTAAACTTTATGCTTTCGATAATAAAACCATTCAAGCTATAGCATTTGGACTCTCTCTACTTCCACAGATTAGGCACTTTGATACTCAACAGGTTGAGTAAATTGAATCCATATATTGTATTTACGTTCTCTGTCAAGGTTGCTTCGCCACATTTCAGTGATCAAAGGCAAAACAGTCATCAACCCTGTAGCCTTTAATACTATGTTCATTACATTTAATCAAGTGCCAACTCTACTGCACCATTCACCAACCTTAAGAATGTTTAAAAGCATGGCATTGTTTAGCAACATATATGGGCACAGTACTATATTAAAAGACATGCACGGAAACCACCCACAAAAAAAAAAAAAAACACATAGAAGAAGGCAAATAAATGCCATCCTCTACATTGTGCAAGAAAATAAATTAAAAATGCACAGAACTGCTCAGTAAACATTTTAGAGGTGATTTTCTACCTGAGGCAGCATCAATCACTGTGGAAATTCCCCTTCGATCAGAGACTGGACGGGATGACCCTGGCATACTGACTGGGTCAGAGCGGACTGGCTGGATCCTGCAATGCAATTTAATTCACATATGTTACTGGTATCAAAACTGTAGCTTGCTACAAAAGACCTTAAATCAGGAATGTTAGAGTAGCCCAATCCATTAAAGAACCATCCATTCTAAAACCAGAGAAACAGGGGAGCTGCAGTCCCTAATTCTTGCATGAGGATAAAACACTACAAACACTCTTTCCACTCCAGGCTCCTTCTAAAAACTTATCTTTGTTCATCATTCAATAGCAAGGGACTAAAAAAATTGACATTAATTTAAAGAGATACAATAAGTAAAATAGTAGAGGAAACAAAACACTGAAAAAGTTTATACTAAAACCTTTGGCATTTGCAAGGGACACATATGCAGAGTTTTGAGAATGTTTAAATTCATGAATAGTACCACAGCTAGTAATTCACTACTTAAAAGGCAGCAATATGTGATTCAAAATTGAGATACTACCTTATAATCCTTAATGAAAGTAACTTTATGTATGACAATAAGAATAGGATAACAAAGCTGTGTAGTGGCTGCATGAGGTTTAGCTAGGATCACTACTAACTAAGCTACAAGGATCAATTAGAACCTCAACAAAAGTGCTTAAGAATAATAGACATAGAAATGCCAAGTGTCTCTTTCCAGCTGTTATTAGAATAAATACTATTAACATAAAAGTATCTGGAAGATTAAAAAATCTGAAACTCCCAGGTAACTTAGAGAAACAAACATTGACATAACAGCATATGCATGTATTTCTGGTAATTCATTCATATAATAATTATTTACTGAATGTTAATCGTACATCAGCATTATTCTAGGAAAAAGCAGAAATAAAACATGAAATACAAGGTCTATATGCAGACATATTACATAGCACATGAATATTCAGAACTTGATACAATGAAAACTAAAGTTTAACACTTTAGTGTTAAAAATATAATAAAAGCTCAGAATGAGGAAATGGTGGAATATATGCATGGTCCACATGAGACAGAGAAGATCTTGTGAAGATGGAACAAAAATTAGGTCTGTATATATTAATACTATCAGGGTATGTATATAGGGAAAGGAGTAAGAAGTATCCTTTAAGTACAGGAATACAACAGACAGAGCCTGGGATTTGTGACCAAGTATGATAAATGAAGGGCATCTCGAGGTGCATGATTTGACTGAAGTCTAGAGTTCATAAAGGGTAGTGGTGGAAGATACATTATAGAAGCCTGAAATGCCACATATGAATTGTAGACTATTGCATACTAGTTATTTCATTTTATTATTATTATTATTATTTTTTGAGTCAGAGTCTCGCTTTCTTGCCCAGGCTAGAGAGAGTGCCGTGGCATGAGCAACCTCAAACAGCAACCTCAAACTCCTGGGCTCAAGCAATCCTACTGCCTTACTCTCCCGAGTAGCTGGGACTACAGGCACACACCACCACGTCCGGCTAATTTTTTCTATATGTGTTAGTTGGCCAATTAATTTCTTTCTATTTATAGTAGAGACGGGGTCTCACTCTTGCTCGGGCTGGTTTTGAACTCCTGACCTCAAGCTATCTGCCCTCCTTGGCCTCCCAGAGTGCCAGGATTACAGGCGTAAGCCACCGAGCCCAGCCCAGACTAGTTATTGAATGTACAGTTTGAATGTATGTGTTTGAAGGAGGTATAGAATGATCTAGTACAGGAAGGTCAAATTATTGATACCCAAATATTGACCACTGCAATGTAGTACTGCCTATTATTCATTCCATCCTAGCTTAATTTTCTAAGCCAATGATGGTAATCCCATCATATTAATATCTTGGCAGTCCATAATTACTTCTGAGATGGGCAAGACTAAGCAAATTTGAGCTAGTAAGAAAAGAGTGGTAGTTTATTTGAAGTTTCTAGAAAAGAAGTTTTCTTGTTCTTGAGAAAAACACGAAGCTAGCCTCTTATTATGCTGGTGCAAAAGTAATTGTGGTTTTAGCATTGTTGAAATTTGCCATTTGATATTGGAATACATTCTTAAATAAATGTGGTTATGTTATACATCATTTTAATGCATACTTCTTGCTTTTTGTTTTTTGCTAATGACTTATTACTTGCCGTTCATTTTATTTTAGACTATGGAAATGATGTTAGACAAAAAGCAAATTTAAGCAATTTTCTTATTCGAATTCAAAATGAGTTGTAATGCAGAGGAGACAACTCGCAACATCAACAATGCATTTGGCTCAGGAACTGCTAATGAATGTACAGTGCCGTGGTGGTTCAAAAAGTTTAGCAAAAGAGACAAGAGCCTTGCAGATTGGAAAGGTGAAAAAGTGGGTGCCTCATGAGCGGATCAAAAATCAAGGTGAAAAAGGTAAAAGGTGAAAAAGCTTAATAAGTGGGTGCCTCATGAGCGGATCAAAAATCAAAAATATCGTTGTTTTGAAGTGTCATCTTCTCTTCTTGTATGCAACAACAATGAACCATTTCTTCATTGGATTGTGACATGCGACGAAAAGTGGATTTTATACAACAATCAGCAATGACCAGCTCAGTAGTTGGACCAAGAAGAGCTCCAAAGCACTTCCTAAAGCCAAACTTGCACCAAAAAAAGGTCATGGTCAATGTTTGGTGGTCTGGTGCCAGTCTGATCCACTATAGCTTTCTGAATCCCAGTGAAACCACTACATCTGAGAAGTACACTAAACAAATCAATAAGACAAACCGAAAACTGCAATGCCTGCAGCTGCCACTGGTCAACAGAAAGGACGCAATTCTTCTCCACAACAACACTCAACCACATGTCACACAATCAACGCTTGAAAAGTGTTTAACAGGCTACAAAGTTTTGCCTCATCCATCATATTCACCTGACCTCGTGCCTTTCGACTACCACTTCTTCAAGCATCGTGACAACTTTTTGCAGGGAAAACGCTTCCACAACCAGCAGGATGCAGAAAATGCTTTCCACGAGTTTGTCACAAAAAGCCTGAAGCACAGATTTTTATGCTTATAGGAATAAACTTATTTCTCATTGGCAAAAATGTGTCGATTGTAATGGTTCCTATTTTGATTAATAAAGATGTGTTTGAGCCTAGTTATAATGATTTAAAATTCACAGTCCAAAACCACAATTACTTTTGTACCAACTTAAACAGATATGGTAGGATCATCCAAAGTAAAGCCCCCTTCTAGTCTAAAAAACTTCTGATGTGGGCTAATAAATTTCTTATTTTTTCTTAAATTTCCTATTTTTAATTCAATTTGTATTGAGATTTCTGAATAATCGGAGTTGGAGGTGGGGTATCAATGTGGCTATAAATAAAATAACATTGGCCATGAATTGATGTGTTGATGCTGGGCAACAGACATATGGGGGGTTATTCCATTAGTCTCTTTATTTTATATATGTTTGAGCTTTTTCCATAATAAAAAAAGACAAAGATAAAACCAAACTGGTTGGGATGATGAAAATGTTCTAGAATTAGATACTGGGGACAGGTGAACAACATAGTGAATATATTAAAAATTAGTAAATTGTACACTGGTAAATTTTATGTTATGTGAATTATATATCAACTAAGAAGACATAAAATAAATGGTAACCAATTTCTGAGGAGCTAATCTTGAATGGAAAGGGAGGCTTTCTATACTCAGCTTCTCTTACATTATATGATTCTCAGGTCTATTACCAAATAATCCATTAACCTTTTTTTTTTTTTTTTTTTTTTGACAGTCTTGCTTTGTCACCCAGGCTGAAGGGCAGTAGCACACTCATTGCTCACTGCAGTCTCGAACTCCTGGGCTTAATCCTCCTTCCTCAGCCTCCTAAGTAGCTAGGACTACAGGTACACACTACCATGCTCAGCTAATTTTTAAATATATTTTGTAGAGATAGGGTCTTGTTACATTGACCAGGCTAATCTCAAAGTGCTGGTCTCAAGCAAGCCTCCTACCTTGACTCCCCAAAGTACTGGGATTACAGGCATGAGCCATCCTGCTCAGCCCTTTTTTACATTTTAAATCACTGCCCTGAGAGCTGCCATGAGATTAAGCCATACCTGATTCCCTCACAGATGACAGTCAACATTATACCTGCCTGTTTTTGCTTAGGATGCAGGGCAGCAGACTATCACTGTACTACATATTCTTATTGACATCTTATAGGATGTAGAACAGTGTGTTAGATGTTAAGGGTCAACTAAGCTCCAAAAATCTAAACAAGTACTATACATTTTAAAGAAGAAACTAAAGCCAATGGCCTTCATAGTGCCATTGTGCATAGGCCTGAAGAAATGCAGATGAACCACAGGTGAGGAGCTAGGCTAGAATAAGAGTAAACAAGAACAAGGAAATTATAAATAGCTGGGTTTCTAGCTGGATGCTGGGTGGGAAATGGTACTAAAAAGGACACTTAAAATTAATGTGAGTCAGATCTGAATTTCCCATTAAAACTGGACTGTAAGTTCTTAACCAAGGTTCTAACTAAAGCTTATCTGTTCAAATTTTAAAATATAAATTACAAATGCAATTAAAAAATATTATAAGCATCCTGTCCAGTATAAAAGTTTGTAAAAGTTATGGGTGTCTAATAAACAGGACAAAATTCTTATCAAATGTAACAATTTAAAGTCATTTATTAAAAAAAAAAAAAACTGGAGCTATTTAAGTATAAAAAAAGGAGGCTAGGCACAGTGGCTCACACATGTAATCCCAGCACGTTGTGAAGCCAAGTCAGGAGGCTCGCTTGAAGCCCAGTTCAAGACCAACCTGAGCATGAATGAGTCCTCTTCTCTACAAAATATAAAAAATTATCCAGGTGCAGTGGTACAGGCCTGCAGTTCCAACTACTCAGTAATAGAGCCAGATCTGATCTCTCTTTAAAAAATAAAAAAGGAAAGTTCTTGAGGAAAATTCTGAAGGATTTATCTACTTTTAAAAGAAGCAAGTTAGAAAAATCTTAGGACTATATCTGATGTAAAGAGCAATTAAGAAAGCTGGAAAAGGCCATGAAACAAAGGGACAGAGTTGAATACACAGGGAATGAAGATGCCTTTCTAAGAAAAAGGCCAGGGCCCTATGATGGCAGCTGGTCACAGTCACTAGGAAAAAAGAGAAAGAAACAAACTCAAAGCAAACTAAACGACAAAACAAATACTAAACCAAGTATTAAAAGGAGATGTGTTCCTCTTTATGAATCATTCATTCATTAAGAAGATATATCAGTGGGGGGAAAGCAAAAATGTAAAAAGGGACACCACTTAGGAGCCTACTAACAGGAGATGTGGTTGCTAGAATGTAGACAGGGGAAAGGAGAACAATGGAAGGTTTCTAGATATATTTAGGAATAGAAATGACATAAGATGATGAAGAACTAGATGTGGCAGGTGAGAAAGGAGGGTTGTCAAGGATAACTTTTAGATTCTATCTTGAATAAGTGGCTTGCCAAGTCAGCTAAAGAGATGGGAAAAAGTAGGATTAAGGATGAAATGAAGGGGGTGATTGTGACCTGTTAAGTGTTTGATGCTTCAGAAACAACCAAGAGGAGGGGGCAGCTGGCTGTACTCTAGTTTATATCCTGACACCTAGGAGGTGCTCGATAAGTTTTTTATTTTAAAGAGACAGGGTCTTATTCTGTTGCCCAAGCTGGTGTGCAGGGACATAATCAACGCTCATTGTAACCTCAAACTACTGAACTCAAGTGATCCTCTCATAGGATCTACAAGCTTGCACCACTGCACCCAGATAATTTTTTAACTTTTTATAGCTATGGGGTCTTTCTATGTTGCTCAGGCTGGTCTCAAATTCCTGGCCTCAACTAATCCTCCCTGCCTCAGCCTACCAAAGTGCTGGGATTACAGACATGAGTCACTGTACCTGGCCTAAATATGTATTATATTTTTTTAAAAAATACATGTATCAGACATAATCCAACTAGGCAATAACTTATGTTTTGTTATAAAAATTTGTTATCGCTATTGACAATGAGACAAACAAAAACACATTTCTAACATATGACTGGAACATATTTTCCCATATTTCCCCAAAAAAACCCCATTTTTTAAAAGATGTGCAAGAAAACAGTCAGAGGGATGCTTTATACTCAAATCAAGATATATTACAGTATTTTTTAAACAGAAGATAAGGAAATTAAGATTATATTATATTAAATTAAGCCCTTTATTGTCTGTTACACCCTGATGTGTCATGTTCTGGTATAACAAACTGCTAAGCAAATTTGAGACAGCAAAAGCCAAAAATGTCTCTGACTTGCATTAAAAAAAGCACTAATAATAAAAAACATACTTTGTATACCTTGTACTATGATTCTTATAAGTAAGGATGAGAGAATATATATTGTGAAAATGATAAACTATAAGTAATATGTACCAAAAATTTCCATCTAAACACTTTTTATAATCCAGAAAGATACTGGATTAGATAAAAATCACAGATGAAATTTAACTAGCAGGATCAGGAAAAGAGGATAGAATTAGACTTCAAGAGTTAGAAATATGAGCAAAGCATCATAAATTGGAATGGCTTGAAAAGTATACTGAATATTAGATTTAGGGAAAATACAACAAGAAAAATAAATACTTATTGAATGTAATGTGATCCCGCATAAGATCCCAAGTAATGACAGTGAATTACACAAATAGTGCATGTACTCTACAACAGGATACTGTGCCAAAAGGAGAAATGTCAATATTACATACAATGCTCATTTCAAATAACCACATTGGTTCTGTCATTCAAACCACTCCCTACTTCTTATTTCCTACCTGAGACTGTTGAGGTCAAGGTCATCTGTATCAAAATCCAAAAGGGGCTGTGGTGTGTCACTTGGACCATGAGACTGCAACACAGATGAACTGGATGATATGACTGTGGTTTGGCCTGAGGGATGGATGGTTTTGAACTGGAACTGTGGACCCATCCACAGACGTCTGTGGGGCCCAGTGTGCGTTACAATTTCGACCTGGAACAAAGTAGGAATCATGATTTAAATGTATTGTGACTCCACTTGAGATCCTTTCATGATCCCCCATCCCTTCTCTCAACACCCACATTCTCCAAGAAGCCCATCTTAATGAAGTGGGAGAGGGAAGGGGCACCCACAATCAAAAGGCAATAATAATCACAGACTATGTAGAACTCACAAAATCCCTCTACTGGTTTTCATCAACATAAACCAAAAAATACATTTTTTCTATATATATACACACACACACACACACAAACACACATACATAAATAATACATACACACACACACACACACAATACAAAAATCATATGAAAGTAAAAGGACCAGTTGCCTGCCTCATATAACTATTTTCAGCTCCCTAGGGTCTACCCTTTTCATTCATTCTAGACAGTACTTACCATGTTGTGGGCATGCACTGAATACTACACCTATTAATCCACAGATTAAAAGTAATTCCTTCACTGAGGATCAAGCTCATGACAAACTTGAAGTTGTTCTTGAACTATCCAAGGAAAAGAAAAGGTCTGAAATAATTTTTAGTACCTGAATCCAGTTTCTTTCCACAATTAAATATTATAATATTTAGTATACTGCCCTCAAAATCCCCCAAAATCTACTTTCAAAGGAAGAAATTATTATATATTTTCTGTCAAACTAGATTTTTGTCTTCAAAATATGATTACTTAGAGTGTTTTCTCAATTGCCACAAACACTGACCCAGCCATTTTATGGGCTACAAAACAGTAATACCAAAATGCTTTATGAATTTCATGCTCTATGACAAAATAGAGAATGTTGCCAATATTACTACTGTAAAGATAAAACAGAGAGTAGAAGACACTGGACAAAACCTGAAAATATACATATTACATTATTTTGCAAACAACTCAAGAAATTAAATATGCAAACCTTCAGTGCAGACTATTTCTTAATGTCTTGTCATTGCTACATCCATGTCTGTTCAAATACTTTATAGAATTGACTTTCAACATGCCTTATTATTGCCCTGAATTTTTTTATATTTAATCACATTTCTCTGATTGTGGTGATTAATTCTTAACAAAACATAACTGAAAAGGTTCACAGACAAGAAGCTCTGTGTTTGTGGATCCAAAAGAGCAAAAGCATCATGGTCTTTGAACAATATTCACATTCCCATTAATCACAGGGAGAAAAATATTCAGATTGAGGACAGTGATTTCTGATTCAAGTAGTTGTATTCAGCAATGTAAATTAGGCCACAGATAAAGCATTCTGTGTATTTTAAGCTCAAAACCATCAGTGTCACAGAGCCGAGAGGTAAACAGATGCCTGTGTAATTTCACTGAGGCGATGGCCAGATGTTCCTACTCACTCTCCTGTTGTGTGCAGGACAAACATATTGTATATACTTTCACACTGACAGCACACATTACCCCTTTTTCTAACTGAAAAGTTGAAGTGAAGGACAGTGGTTCCTTTGCCAGCATTCTTTAACAACATTTTGATTCTGGAACAACACAAGCATTTTGGGTTTACTTTATCTTGGTATTATCAAGAAAGGATGGATTTCTCTACACCAGGAACTTAGGCATTGACCCTACTTAAAGGAGCTTCCTGTGAATATCTTTAGTATGATAAAATAAAACTATGTTACCTAAACACTGTTTGATTCTTCATTTTCCAGATTTACTTTAATTTTTCAGGCCATCCTCCCTGAGAAAGCCATGCAACTATAATACAAATGGCCTCCAAATTTTCGGAGGCACCTGTCTGATGAAAAGCCACCAGACTGGTAATCTGAGACTGTCATTAACTTCAGAAAATGATGTCAGACTTGAGGCAGACATAACAGCACTTGTAATGAAGTCATCTGTAATCTCAACATTTTGAAATCTACCCAAGCATCTTTGATTTCAAAGCCCTTGAGATGAAGATAGCTTCACCTGGGAAGGGGAGGAACAGTTAAAGTTGCTACAGGACTAATTTAGAGACTGCTAGAAACAGCATTACATGGGCTTAGGAAAGGAAGTTGTGTACCACCGAATTCTGCAAAGGAGAATGCAGAATTTCCATGATGAAAGTATGAACCCAATCTTCATAAAATGTTGGCTCAACAGAACAAATCCCAAAGATTGTTGAATGGCTTCACTGTTTTAACAAGGTCAACTTTTGGTTAAACAAGATGAAAATATGTTCAAAGAGTCTATTTAAATTCCAAGGTCCTAAGCACTTTAATGGATTGTGTGAAAGATATGCATATTTTATGCCCTCTACATGAAACCTAACACATATATACACACACGTGTATGTATAATGTACATATATATTACAGTAATATTTATGAGAAATTTGTAATATGGAAAGGCTATCAATTAATTCTCGTTGATTCAACAGAGTTACCTACCAATTCTCCCCACTTTCCTTTAATGAAAAGAATAAGACAGTGAATTTCTGTTTTTGTTTACTTTAATACCCCAAATATTTCAGAATTTTACCTGAGATAGCCATTCTTCATCCTCCTGTCCACTATGGTCAGAAGCTAAACTGTCATAAGACCCATGTCGAGTAATAGGCCCAGGACTTCCAGGGGGAACCACTACAGGAGAAAGAAAATGGATTTAAACCGCTTTATTACATGCAGTGGAAAATGGACATGGGCACAACTATATTGGATACTGTGGCAATTTATAAGGCAAAATATGATATTTAAAGCACAGGGGCAATTCAAACAACTAATTAATAAGACTTACGTCCTTAGGAATAAGATAGATCTCTAAGAGTATACTTACAAAAAACTACAGAAATTAATAATGACACCTGACCATTTATTTCTTTTATAAAGAAATTAATGGTAGCCTGTAAGTTAAAGGCAAATGAACACTGAGGAGCAGTGACAAATCTATTCACTGGGAGATTATTAATATATAGAGATTCGTTAAAGAGCTTATTTAATAGTTTCATATAAATTCTAGGCATAACATGCATATTGAATCAAAAAACACTTTCAGTTTCCGAAAAATTCATTTAACCATATAAATAAGTCATTTTATTAGATACCTGAGTAGTTTCCCTGATTAAATAGGATGATACAGTCAAACTATAAACCACGTACTTTCTCATACAAAGAGGAACTTTTGCTTAGTGAAAGCAATAAAATAATCCAACAAACATTTACTGAGTTCCTACTATGAACCAAATATTATCCTTCCAAATTTTAGTCTCTTCTTTGGAAACTACCACTGACTCATTCTGTCTGTCTACCTACCTCTAAAAAGACTCTTTTTTAAGAGCAGTTTTAGGTTCACAGCAATAAAGAACTGAAGGTAGAGAGATTTACCATCTACTCCCTATCTCCATATACAATTTTAATACTCAGGAAATCAAGCAATGAAGCACTGAGTGGAACATAGAAAAAAAGTGTGCAAAAGTAGGAAGAAAAGTAGATGATCATTAAGAAATGTGGAAGAAATAGAAAAAAATGTGAAACAGAAAACCTCATAATTTCCACCATCCAGAGATATTTGTTTTAACCACTGCAAATCTTATACTTTACCAGCAACTTGGGAGGCTGAGGCAAGAGAACAGCTTGAGCCTGGGAGTTTGTGAGCTGAGCTGACACCACAGCACTCTATCCCAGGCAACAGAGTGAGACTTGGTCTCAAAAAACAAAAACAAAACAAAACAAAAAAATTAAATTTAATTTAAAAAAATAAACAGACTGATAAAAGCTTATCTTGCTGCAGGAGGAGAAGTGGTACCTAATTAGGTGAATTACTCATCAGAGGTACCTATAGCAGTAAAACAGAGGTACCTATAGCAGTGGTTAAAACTTTTAGCTGCTATATCTTCAGGTCTGCAGTTCTATAGATGAGAGGCATGCCGGCATTTGCCACAAAACACAAGTGATCGCAAAAGCATACACTTAAATTCTTATGATAGGGAATGATATCATGAAGAGAAGAATATCATAATAATCAACTATTACTTAAAAATTCTTTTGGAAATAATTCTGGTATATATCGCAAAGCTGTTAAGTAAATTTGTGTTTTCAAAAGGCTGAACTGTCTTCATACCATTTGTCACCTTTATAATAAATATATTTTATATTATATTCTTAATACAGAACAGGAGGATCCTTGAAATCTCTACTCCTTAAATAACAGTGAAAAACATGAATATGGAAAAATACCTAGAGGATACAACATGCTTTGGAAAGCAGATGAGCATAGAGAAGATTTTTAAAGAGGTGAGGGAAGAGGTTATGTAGATATCTAAGGGGAAAGTCTTACAAAGGGAATCTCAAGCACAAGATTTTTGAGGTGGGAACTTAAAGGAAACATTTCAGTAACAGATAGGAGACCACTATGGTTGGGTGGGGTGAGCCAGGTTGTAAGAAGAAGATGAGTCATTCAGGCAAAGGGAGGCAAGACAAGCCGATTACTAAGGGCTTTTTTTTGGGGGGGGGGGGGAGGGTAGTAAGCAGAAGTGAGAAACCATGCCTTTGCATAACTAACTAGAACCTAATGTGACTTTCTCCAAGAGTTCATGTTGACTTCTATATATGCTGAGCCTATACTAGTACCTGTCACACAATAAGTACTCAATAAGTATTTACTGGGTGGTCGTAGCATTGAATTCTGTACTAATGGCACCAGAATGACTGGAAACTTATTTATTCATCATTAAAATGAGGATAATATGCTATCTGCCATTGGCTTCAAAATAACTCAGTGGCAGGGATGGAGGCAGGGAGGACTATAGATGAAACCACATTGGTCATTAGTTGATCATTTTTTAAGCTGGCCGACAGGCATATGGAGGTTCATTATATTATTGTTTTTTAATTTTGTGTGTGTTTCGAAATTCCCACAGTCAAAAGGGAGGAGGAGAAGGACCCTCTGCGCCTTAATCAGCTTTCCAAAGGAAGTAAAGATTCCAAATTTACTTCTAGAAATAGTAGCATAAATCTGAATCCCAAAATCCTAGAGATTGTTTAGAATAGAAGAAGAATTTCCATAGTTTTTTTCATTGCAAATAGTTTTCTAATTAAGAATGCTTTGAAGCCATCAGAAGATGGGCAAATTAGTCAGGGGGATAATAAGTCCGGGGGATGATATTTTTCAATATCGGATAAATATCCTTCCCTTTCTCCCACATTTTTTTCTTTGAGACAAAGTCTTGCCATGTTGCCCCGGCTAGAATGCAGTGGTGTCGTCAGAGTTCACTGCAACCTCAAACTCCTGAGCTCAAGCGATCCTCCTGCTTCAGCCTCTCAAGCAGCAGGAACTATAGGCACCTGCCACCACACCTCGATAACTTTTCTATTTTTTGTAGAGATGGGGTCTCTCTCTTGCTCAGGCTGGTATTAAAACCCTGCCATAAGCCATCCCCATGGCTTGGCCCCCCAGAGTGCTAGGATTGCTGGTGTGAGCCACTATGCCCGGCCACATTTACTTATATTTCAAAATTTCCCCCAATTCAGGTAGGAACAACATTCTATGTTCACTGACTTGAGAAGGAGTGTGACATACCAGGTCACAGGGAAAAAATAATTGAAAACCTTAACCATGAGATAAGAAAAGATTAAAAGAAAATACGGTAAAAGCAAAGCTTCCATTCTCCGTAACCACCCAATTATTAGGAATGATACCCTGAGACTTGAACAATAGTGATAGAGACATAAAGGGATAAAAAGGGTGTCTGCAAGGATAGATAGGGAATGGTATAATTCCAGAAAAACTTTTAGGGAACAACAGCTGTGAAAAATCATCTCTTCATTCTTAGATAGAGTTAAGGAAAGTGGCCTGAGATCACATATGGTACAAGAGTAGAAGAGGTATGCACATAGTGTCTCTGCACGGCCAGGTCTGAGACAACCTTACAATGTTCTCTATGACTGAGATAAGAAGAATGTTTCCTATGTGTACAAGAATACATGCACATATACCAGAGAACTGACAGGATTTGAATTAGCAACAAGGATGGATGCTGCAAAGACCTATATGAACCAAAGACCAAAGATATGATGGGGAACTGGGGCATCTCAGTTGTGGCAATGCAGCTAAAATGTCCCCAAACCCCTTACCTCATACTTATATACTCTGTAAGCCTTGGAAGCAATTAGAAGCCTTAAAAATTTAGAAGCAACTTTGGAGGAGTTATAACTGATTGAGATTAAGTTTTCCACATGTCTTAGAATGGAGGTACAAAAGAGAACTTAAGAGAGTGTATTTATTCCACATGTAGAACTGTCCCATAAAGAAAAAAAAAAAAAAAAAAAAGAGTGTATTTAAGCAAGAGTAAAATTCTGTATCTTGCAAACACAAGATTGACAGACCAAGATATATATCAGCTACCTAAAGAAAAATGTTTAGTATCTTTTACATTTACCAATTGTCTCATATAATTAATAAACTTGGTACAAGAAAAGGATATGGAATTCTGATATATAAATATTGCCATGTTCTATTCCCCACCTTTAGTACAGTAATTTAAAACATACCTTTATCCACCTAAATAAAAAGAATGTACTATTCATCTGCTTTACAGAATACAACTTCAAAAGTACTGCCTCTACACATCAGAATTTGATAAGTAAAGATCAACAAGCAAGGGCAAGATGAGTAGATTATTATGAGGTAATTGTGAGCTGTTTATACTGTTTATAGCAGATCACACTTATACTGAGTAAATAAGAACTAAAAAAAAAATCAGTGTATTTTTCCATCTTATATTGATATATGTGTGTGTGTGTTTCTATGTATATATTTATATATTTTTATATGTGCTTAAATGTAAAGCAAACAAAAAAAATCTGCTTTTAGGGCTGGCGTTTGAAAATTAGTTCTGTTAATCTAAACTAAAAATACTTCCAAATCAGAATAACATAAATAAAATTATGAACAGAAAGATTAAATGGTCCCCTAAGAATGTCCCTATGCCTGAATGCCATATAACAAAATTTACAATATTCCAAAAAGTCAATTTATAATGTAACTTTACAAATGTATAAAAAGCTTGAAAGAACTCTAGTTTTAAATTTTTAGATGTCTTCTACATCATAATAAAAGATTCAACTGATACAGAATTTTTAAAAATTACCCATAGAAAATATGTTATTTATGAACTAGAGAAAGGAAGAAGTATTGCTTTACATCCTATTAAAATATAGGTACAAACCATTAAGTTATGCAAATACCAATTACTAAATTACAGTTATAAACATTATATTAGCAGACATCTCAACTAACGTCCTTAAGTTTCTTCAAATATTCATATTTTTAACACTGGTTAAGCGTAGGTTAGGATGGGTGGGTTTGAACCAAGGTTTCAAGAAGGCATTATTCCCAGTCTGGAGAAATTTAAACCTCTTAATCTTTCACCTCTCCCCCCAAAGAATGAGAATATAACTTTATTGTTATGAAATCAAATTCCTTCTAAAATATCCCAAAAGAAACAGCTTGATCTCATAAACAAAGTTCATCTGCAACAAAAGTAGTCTTCTCCTTAGAAGCTGAAAGATGAGTTTTCCTCATTAAAATATTGAATATATTATATATTAGGACAGGTAATTAATTACTCTTCTTAGTGTATTCA